GTCCTCCTGGTAGTGTCAACCACCAGAGGTGCTTCAATAGACTAAGACCAATGGTCAACTTTTGCACAAGAGGACATCATCTTGGGGCCCTTGCAAAGGAATTCCTTGACAACAACATTGAACCACCTGAAGAGTGTCGTCCAATTGAAGAGGATCCGGAGCCGCCCTCTGATATGATCGACGAAGCTACAAGACTTCTAGCTGGAACTTCGATCTAGCACTTATTCGTTAAATTATTTGTCTCCGTACATATCTAGCTTATTATTAGGATGCTGGTATTTGTCGCATCATACTTGGCAGAACCGATGATAGTTCTGCTGTAGTGTTGGTCTCAAATTTCAAAGCTCAATGATTTGTGATTCTGGAGATTGCAAAGGTAGCAGTTCCGTCCAATTCCCTACAATGCCCAACGCAATTCTCTTGATCTTTGAATTGATTGGTGCTTCTTTTAGATACATAGCAGCAAATTGTTTGACGGAGATTGGTGCATCGGTCTTCTGTTTTTTTTTAATCTCCAAAGCCAAACAGACGTGCTTCAAGATAATTCCGTATTCCTCACTTGTTTGGATAGCAGGCATATTTTTGACATGGCGCTCATTCTTCTCCTTTTTTGTTTGCTTGGGTCTCTTTGCTTTGTGAAGATCCAAACAGCTGGGTTCCATCCCACACTTGTTTGCTTTCTTCTGTACCGCAACAGTGGACCTTGGAAATGAATTTGCCTTGATTCCTGCCATATTGCACAGATTGTGAGAAAAATCGTTTAAGAGAAGCTTGGAAGATCGGCCATAGTCGCTGATTGTTGAGGAGTCCCACCATTTGGACCTTATTGTGAAACATGGGCGATGACTTTTGACGTTGCTTGGTCATGGATGAGCGTTTCGTTTAGGTCTTTTAGGAATCACCTCAACCGTCTTGCCATCGTAGGTGAACATCCATTTCCCGCCGAGATTCAAATCCGCGCGCAGGCATACCCGCTCGCCGGCCGTCGATCCGTTAGATTTGAATTCATCAATCATTCATTTACTCACGGTTGCATCAAAATCGCAATGAAAATGATCGTAAGTTTCGGATGGGCGTTGCATCTCCTCCATACTATTTTCTTACGCAACTCTATTATCGCTCCATGCGCAGTGATGAGACGGATCGAATGAAAGCGGTTGCACTTCTGCGATCGATCGGCTTTCATTTCCCTCTAGATTCGAGACCTTCCCAAGTTGAGTTCAATGATGTCCACGGGAAAGAGACCTTGATGAACCAACGAGACCCCAACAGTCAAGTAAGTGATCCATGATAATACGAAAGATCTACGTTTGCGTCTATTTGACTGGTATTTCCGCGAAGCTTTGACCAAGATTTTGTCATTCTGCTGTTGCCAAAATAATATTCAGATGCCAACTCGTCAACAAGCCAAATGCTCTACGTCACTACGGTTTCGCGCTAGGGAAATCTGACATTGACACAAAGTGACATGCCGGCGCGATATGGCTTGCCTTTCGTTCGTATGAGTCGAACTTGTTGGGTTGGATGTCCGTCTGGCATGCGTACGTCTAACTTTTTAAGTGTTGAAAGACAAATGTATGGAGAAATGGTGAAAAGTACCAGGTACCTGGTACACCTTCAATAAAATAAAAACTATGCGGACGCCAGCCGACTTCTGCAAAACATCTATCAAAACTATTAAAATACCGCGATAATAATATCTTGTCAAACAGTACAATGCACCATTCCTTGTTTGGGTTAGTAGGGATTTATCAAAACGTTTTCTCAGAAACAAATTAGATACAGTAAGAAATATCAATGGCACCATATCATTAGTATGCCAACAACCAACTCGTCTGGTGGTGGCAAACCAAAGGTAAAGTACTAGGCTCCGACATCTCTGAAAATGCCCGAAACTACATCCTTCGCAGTAGGGATCTGATTGAAATTTCCTCTTTTGACGGCTGGGCCACTTTGCCCCGAGTTTGGACTGTTTTCCTTAGATGGGGAGAAGAATTGCCGTACTTTCTTCATTGTCTTAGATGAGGAGAAGAACTGCCGTGCTTTGCTGCTGCTGTCGCCGTCGCTTTTGTTGAAACCAGCGTCGCTGGTATGGAGATCCAATGGCTCCAATCGGTCTCCGACTTATTCATTTCCCTCACTTCGTCTTTCTGTATGTAGTAACGCTTGGACAGCTGCAATACAAAACGTTTCCTGATGCATAAAGGTGCACCACTTGTCTGAGATTCTTGATCGACGTCTTGTTTGTCTGGCATATTATAATTCAATACCTGCGGAAGACGAAGCTCTGGATTGGAAGGCTGCAAATGCACCTGCGGAGAGGGGGAAAGGGCCAGAACTGCAAGTAGGGACATCGTCAGCCATTGGAACAACGTTTGACAGCGTTGTAGTACTTCTCTCTACAAAGTCTTTGAAACGCTTCAAGATCTTCTTTTTCTGGGTTCGTAGCGCATTGTCACTCCTTCTCCAAAGCTCATAAACATCACCCAATAATACGTTATCTCGTGCTGCCAAGCAAAGATGAATTGTTGAAACGACCAAAAGTTCATCTTTTGAAAACTGCTGGCACTTCCTCTTTCCAAACCATTTCATGCAAAATGTTTCACATTCATTTTTTCAAAGAAACCTTTTAGGAAATCTTTGTAGCTCTTTTGATTCAAAATCAAGTCATCCAATTCCTTGCGATGTATCTCATTCTTCAATTGAATAGCATGATGTTGAAAGTGGTTAGATTCTTGGTCGACGACTGTCAAGGACAGAAGTGCTCTTGCACAGCAGCGAAACTCGTGGTCTTGATCTTATGCAAGAAGGTTATCGACTTCTTCTTTCCCTCTTGGGGTTTCAGCAAATTCACGGAGCTCGTTTAGAAGAATTTCTTTTTTTACTACCGATTTTAGGTGGCATTGGAGCAACGAGCAGATATTTGGAGCAATAGCTCATGACATTGTGTTGTTTACGACGATAGAATCTATTGAATTGCATTTACTGATAAAAATAGATCATTGTCATGCTGTTTGTTGAAGCTAAGGTATCAACTAAAGCCTGAAGAAATTTAAAACAAGTTTGAATTTTCCTGGGTTGGATCAAAGATTTGTGACAAGTTGTTGTGCTGATGAAGTCCCTTTATATAGTCGAAGTTGTTGTCGGAGAAACATTGAGATGAAGACGTAGCGCGCCAGCCCTCCAGCTCAATGTTTCTCCGAAACCGTAGTGCGTTGCAAACAAGACCCTGCCGAATCAAGTCATCGATCTGTTATACTAAGAATGAGCTACTTTGGCGTCTTTCTATTTGCGAAGTATTGACTGAAGTTCTGCCATTCTACGTTGGCAAGATAATTATTGGAATGAAACGCATCAATCAACAAAATTCGCTACGATACGGGTATTCGTTCCTACAAGCAGAACCTCTTTTTCTTGGATCTGTCTGGAGGTGTCATTGCCACCAACCAAAGCACGTCTACAATAGTAAGAGACGCAACAAATATCTTTTTCAACAGTCTTGGACGAAATACAACTTGGCTCCGTCGCATCAAAGATTTTACAGGCAGACACCATGCCCGCGAATCCTACATATTTTAAAATAGATGAGAATACCGCAATGATTGTGTGTCTATAGTCGTATTGAAAGATTGATTTTACAGGGAAAGACAAGTACTGCAAGTCACAAGCGTTTGTCGTCACAAGTAGTTGCCAACAAGAAGCAATCCTTGTCATTTCTTCCAAGCGCCAAGTAGGGCAAAATTGGTCATCGGGATCCAGTCCTTGGGAGCTCTAATAAAAGGACCTCTTGGGAAAAGGTGCCAATGAAAGGGACCTCTTGGGAAAAGGTGTCAAAGCCAATGCAAATAAAAAGGATCTCATTGGCTAGGTGAAATAGAATTCTGCTTACGTATGCGCTGGTTTTGTTCCGACTTGCAACATGTCGATTCTCAACAGCAATCATTATTTGATCAGGCAAGACGGTAGACGGACTGGCAAGAGAAGACTCCTGTCTTCACGCCAACAGTCATGTCGTCAGTCGCTTAAGCGAAGTAACGGTAATTCATTGGACGAAAAATTCGGGGACGATCGGC